TTTTCGTAGAAGTGCACATAGATATACTTAGAATATAATATATATATATATATATATATATATATACATTTAAAAATGATTTTCCACCATATTAATATTTATTTGAAATTTTAAACATTTGCATCGAGTTCTTAATATTTTTGGTGTTCTTCCTATTTTTTTTGTTTTTTTTAAAATTCGATTCGAGAATTCGTAATGTATATAGCAAATCGTGTCGTTTAAATCGATGCTGCGAGGTCGTTCCCAACGTATCGGGGAAAAAAAGGCTGACAATGAGCTGGCAGTCGAGAATCTTACGCAGCCATTCGAACGAGGTCGATGGCGTGCAGCACTTTCCGGCATGGTATATGACATTCGAAGGACACATTGTCATTTTCTTTTTTCTTCCTTTTTGATCACTTTTCTTATTCTCGTATATCTTTCCTTGATCTTTTATTTTCGGTTCTTCGGAAGCTTCACAATTCCTTTCAAAGTATTTGATTCTACATTTACATGACAACACGACGCGTGTCCTTTTCGTGTTGTGCTTATATCAAGAATCTCATGGCCTCGTAAAATTCGATTTTTTTGTTGGAATCACGCGCACGTTTCTCTTCTAATTCGAAAAGATCATCGATCATTGATATTTGAAAATCGAACATTTGAATCTCATTTCTGTAAAATTATATTTACTTTTCTCTATAATTATTATTATTTCTTTATTTTTTTACCAAAAATTCGATCAAACAAATTAGGTTGAAAATCGAACATTTGAATTTCATTTCTGTAAAATTATATTTACTTTTCTCTATAATTATTATTATTTTTTTATTTTTTTACCAAAAATTCGATCAAACAAATTAGGATTATTTCTATGAGGTTCCCTTAGTATAGTTAAACAACCAACGTCGTTATTCTATTTTTCTCGGAGCAAGTATTTTTAGATTGCACTATGCACCGATAATATTATCTAACACGATTTTTGATCGCAGACACACACACACACGTAGCATTGGTATTTTCTTAGATTACTTCGAAATTAGGATGACAACGCTTGTGTGTGAGATATATAAATAATAATAATAATAATAATATATCTTATTTAATTCTAAATGCTTCTTTTTCTATCTCTCCTTCGAATTGGTCGATTATTAAATAGGTTCTTCGCAAAGTAGTACTTACAAACACCTCCTGTTTTAATTAGTAGTTAACAATCTATGACTTCTTAGAAGCTAGATATCGAAATATATATTATCCTATCGAAGAAGGTCTAGTCTTTAGCAACAAGGTATCCTGGTACAAATCATACTTGTACCAACTACGAGATATATGTGAGTATGTAAAAAACCAAGGGTCACAATATTTCGCTTTTTCATCTTCATCTATTTAATACAAAAAAGAAAAAAGAATAAAATAAAATAAAAAAAAAGAATTATAGAAATCGTTCATTAATTCATTGACAAGATTGATCCTAGCAACTCGCTTGAATGTATAAACAAACAAACAAAAATAAAGAAAATTGCATCTCGCTTGCTTTAATCTGTGTGTGTCTGTCCACATGTAGTTTGTCTAATTTATATATGTATATGTATGTATTAATATAAAATCGTATCAAAATCAAAACGGTTCTCTTTTAATAAAGGATCAAACAAAATATGCAATACGTACATACGTATATATATATATATATTCGTTCGTAATTTAGTTGACACATGTTCTTTAGTATGACCAAGACAAATCGAAACTTCACCCTTGACTATTATTCTTATTAATATTTCAAAGGTCTTCAACGATCTAAGCGATACTACAGTCACATTTATATACCGTGACACGTCAGCAATGAATCACAATTTAAAATAACGTTTTGCTTCGTTTTATGTTAAATATTTTTCTTGGTTGTACATAAGAATTTCGAGAATGAACAGAGTTACAAAATGTTCTTCGTACTATTCGAGTATCGTTAATGGAAACTATTAAATTAATATCTTTTAATTATAGATTTAAAAATTGAATGAAATTAACAAAAACTATAGTTGCGTGTGTCTATTGGAAAAATTGATGAAAGCAAATTAAATCATCATAGTTGTAAAATCAATCGTATAGAATCTCAGCGAATCATTCGAATAGTACGAAGTATAGAAGTAACGAAAAAAAAAAAAAAGAAACGAAGCTTCATCTCGAAATAGTAAAAAAAACATAGTCGTAGATAAAAAAAGAAAGAAAAGAAAAAAAAAAAAAGAAAACAAAAAAGACGTGAGGGATGCCAATAGCAGGCGGAACTCCGTCACATTTCTTGCCTTTACAGAGACAGGAGAAAAAGAGAGAGAAAGAGAGAGAGAAAGAGAGTGAGAGGGGGGAGAGAGAGAGAGAGAGCAGGAATATAACAAGGGAAGAGACTACTACAGGGGATGAGGATGACGATATCAGTGTGTTCCCAATAATAAGAAGAAGAAAATAAACAGAGGAATAATATTTCGTAAAAATTTATCCAGTGATAATTATCAAGAAAGAACAAAATATATCTAAAGACTGATTTCCTAAAAAAAGGTCGATCAAAAGTGAACGGCTAAAGATGTATGCAGCAGCAGGTGGTGCGAGTATAGCGAATAGGAGGAAGCAGAAACGTTTGCAGTTGTACAAACGTGGTGCCGAAGGTGGCCGACTGGGGGAGAATGTATTAGGAACGGCAGAAAGGGGCAAAATCATTTCGAAGCAAACAAGGAGAACAGGATCAACAACGGGAACGTTGATGACGAACAAGTTCGCTCGTCAGCATCAGCATCAGCACCACCACCACTACCACCACCACCATCATCATCAACACCACCATCACCACCACCAACATCAACACCAACACCAACACCACGTTGTCCCATCATCCTTCGCAGCACAAGTTGCACCACAATCATCCCAATTCCATACGGGCATCGATCGACAACAGCTTTCACGAGTCGAGAAGTACCAACAACAACTAGCACCTGTCTCGCCCATTCAATTCCCCATATCGCCGCCACCGCTCTCACTGGAATCATCAGTTTCGGTCACCTACGCCACTAGCAAGCCTAACAGCTTCCCTTTTCCGCCACCCTCGATCCTCGATCTAAGAATCTCGCCTACTTCCACGTCGGATCTACAGGTGGGTAAAATCCTCCAAGAGTTAATAACTATTCTTATCAAAGGCCTCTCCCTCCCTCCTAGTTTACCTTGGAAGACCGAGCAAATCCTCGCTCACCTCTTTCACTCTATTCCATCCCTATACCTCTAACTCTGTCCCATTATTTTTTTTCTATCAATTCGATACGCTAGAGCTATCTTAGCACGATAATAATATAGAGGAGTATATATATACATAATACATATTTAGAAATATCACCTAATTCCACACCACTTTTATTCCGATCTTTTTTTTTTTTCTTCTAACTCTTAATCTTTATACTCTGTATTTAGCAATCTATCTATCTATCTATCTATCTATCTACCTACCTATCTATCTGTCTGTCTGTCTGTCTGTCTGTCATCCATCTATCTAACTATCTATCTATCTATCTATCTATCTATCTATCTAACTATCTGTACGTATCTGTCTATCTTTCTATCTTTATTATCTATACTTTTCGTTTTTATCTAACGCACCGCACCACTCGTCGGCACAACACCCCCCCGAGTTTGAGAAGACCGTCGATCGGCTGTCTGGTGGCGTCTACCGTAATATCGCGGTAAGGCGTTCGTCGGATCATCCAGGTTCGTTGGTCGATCCCGATTGCGATTAGTAGAATGCGTTTCATCTAAAGGATAGATGACGATAGATGAAAATGATTAAAAGATAAATGAGGAAAAGAACATTTACTTGTTTATTATCGCGGTCTCGTTACCAGCGGATTTGGATACGGCGAATGCTATGAGGCAGAACGGGTCTCGAAAATTTGTCTAGATTATATCTATATATCTATATATATATATATATATAAATATATATCTATTATATATTTACATACATATATATATATATATATATATATTCGTCGAATTAAACGACGAATTTGAATTATACTGATCGGAATTGGGATATGATAGTTGCGTGGGACTTGTTCGATAATACGCTCGAAGGAAGGAGAAAAGGATTTTTCACAATCAACCAGGAGGGTGACACTCAAATCTAAAAAAAAAGGTGCTACCACTATCACTACTCCTACTAACTTATTATACTACAACTTCTTCTACTACTACTACTAATACTACTGCTACTACTATATTACCATACTACTGCTACGAGAAAGTGGAAAAAAAAAAGACAGTCCGGATCTTGACGATCGATGAAACAAGCAAGTGAATGAGCGGAATGCAGGCTGCTCTATTGATTAGAAGGGAGAAGCAGCGGTTACGGGGGGGTAAGGTGGTGAACTTTAGAGATTTACCAACCAACTTGGCCACAAGGCTTATTCCACCGCTACCACGATATCCCCCACGTTCGTACGTTTATGGGGTAAGTATCAGGTTCACTTGCCAGTCCACTTTATCAACTTACGACGGTAAGATATTATTAAATCGACGAGGTATTTCTACGGAACGGAAAGCGTTCGCCGATAGAATCTATCCTCGGGTAACTCACGATACCGCCTATCTGCGATAATTAAGGTAGAAACTTTCTAACTCGGGGTTTCTGTGCGGCTAAAATTTATTAACGATGTTTTATTTATCTCTATTTTCATTTAATTTTGATTTACTTTCTCGTATTGTTTTTCTTTTTTATTTCCCCTTTCGTTATGTATTCATTATCCTAAGTCGGCTGCGCTTCCGTTTTTCGTTTTCTTAATTTTTCTTTTTCTTTACTTTTTTTTTTCGTTCGAGTTAGCGTCCTCCCCCGTTTTATTTTTCTTTTTTTTTGGTAGACCATGTGTGACGTAATTATCTTCTCATGTGATCAATGTCGTAAAACATAACTTCATGTTCAATAAATATATATATATACATATATACATGTATGTGTTTTAAACAGGAATACGAATGATCTTCTGCTAGCAAAGGATTTAAGATTGAATATACCCTTTAATCGGTTGTATTCATTTACCAACCTTAAATCCTCAGCCCCCTAATGTTGTATCCACTTCTCTTTTATGATATACATTTAGAATAGAATAATTAATGTCGTAAAGTGGAATGGTTGCAGTGTCAGGGAGCTGGAAAGGTAGCATGGCAGGGATGCACCAGATCATCCCCTCTTCCTTTATTTCCTAATTTACCACATGGGTGTCGCGGCGGCGATGGCTACAAAACGAAACAATGCGAGGCTCATCGAAGATGGATGAAGAGGAACAGGGTAACGCGTTTCGTATTGAAGGCTAACGCATATTAATTTCATTCATAATTCATCATTTGTTTTGATAGACCGGACAATGTGAATGCATTGAAAAATTTCTTTTTTTTTTTTGTCTAAGTAACGATTTAATTGTGGTAAGATGAAATTTCGTTTAATCACAGATACGAGATGCCAGTTATTGTTATGGGAGTAGCGGAGAGGACGACGACGATGATATAAGCGGTAGCGTTAATCGTCGTAGAGCCGAAGTTAATGCAGCAGTAAACACCGTACTTTATGCCGGACTTGGTGCCACAGCTCTCGGCCTAGTGATTTCGTTCGTTGGTACCGGTGAGAAAGGATTTCTCAGTCCTGAGCTGAAATTAATTGGACCCTCGTTACTGTGCGCTGGTCTACTTTGCTGCCTGTTTCGTGTATTGCTTTGTCTTTGCCTGTGCCGTTGCGGCGAATGCCGTTGGTGCCTTTGTAAGCAGTCCCGTAACAAGAAAGAAAAGGAAAAGCAGAAGACGGAAACACGTCCATCCGGTCCAATGCAGACAGCCTCGCTTTTATCACCAGTGCCACAGCAACCAGCCACACACTCGTCTTGCCAAGTGTCGTCGTCAGCAAAGGGACATGAACTCTTACTCTCTCCTGCCCAATTACCTGAATGAAAATATGATTTCAAACGTTTTCTACCGAATTCTACATGCCGATCTACTGCCGATTCTGTCCAAAGAAGAGGAAAGAAGATATGGAAAGGAAAGAAAGAAAGAAAGGAAGAAAGAAGAAAAAGAAAAAGGAAGAAAAAGAAAAATATTAAATAGCATATCTCGATATTATTCGGTTTGACTTAAGTCACAAAATATATCATAAAGGATAATTCTAGTTAAATGGAAGTTAGTGCTCACAGTGAGGATAATAAATGATCGGCTACGTTTTTTCTACCCTTCCGGTGTTTGATGAAGTAAACGAACGTTTGTTGATAAATCTCTTAATTTATTTCCTTCCATTGTTATTTCTTTATAAAGAACATTTAAAATAGTCAATGTGCTATTCACTTAAGATGCAATAATGCATGATATATTTAATGATTTAATGGCATTAGATTGATTTTCTCTTTTCTTTTGTAAGAAAATTTGTTGTCTTTCATTGTCTTCTACAAAAGGCAATAAAAAAAATTCCATTTAATACTAACTTAAAATGCACTGATCAAGAAAGTTGGAATTGCATTTGATCGGTAGAGGAGTAACTGTAGATTACAGGTGTATCTGAGGTAGTTGCATTGGAATCTGTTGCAATAGTGAATAATTGATCTTCGTATATGGTACCCTGAGATTCTACTTTCCCATTACCAGTCGTTGTTCCTGTCCCCGAAGGATTATCCCCTTTGGTAGCTTCTCTATATTTTTGTAGATAAACTTTCAAGGGTTCAACATAATTATCAAAACCAAGGTTAGTCATAGCAAACAAAATATCTTCCCCGTTTATGGTTTTTCGTTTTTCCATATGACACCGGTCACTAGCTTCTGAGGTGATAAACGATATAAACTCGGATACACATTCTTGTACACATTCGCGTGCATCTTTAGCTATTTTTCCTGCTTCAGGTATAGCCCGTTTCATTATTTTGGCTACATTAGCTATAGGGAGAAAACGATCCTGTTCTCGTAGTGGACCACTACCACTTCCACCTCCACTGCCTTGTAAAGGGTCACCACCACCATGATTGGAATCATCTGTATTTTCTGGATCAATAACGATTAAAATGATAAATCATGAAAACTATATAATGAAATTATTAAATTATTCATAAATCATTTCTGTTGGATTTAATCATAAAATTTCTAAATCAAATGCAGTTCGTTCTATATTTTCTCATCGTAATTGTTATTCAACAATTGTTTTATCTTGTTAAATAAAAAGTTATTAAAATATGTAAGATATATTATAATGTTTTATAAAACACTAACCTACCTTCCAATTCGTCCGATTGTACGCCTATGTACGAGGCAGAAACACCACTTCCTCCTAAAAAGGTTGTAGGTCCTAAAGGTCCACCATCATCGCCACTTTCACCACTATTTTCCATCCTCTAATAATATTTTATATTACTTAATTTAAATAATATATAAGTTTTGTACTCCTAACCTCTTCATGGACGATGTTCGTGTTATTGTTGTCACTTTTAACCATAAACGTTGCAATACTGAGAAATACTGAGAACACATTTTACAACATGGAAGAACATTTCGACGCATACGCAATAGTTGAATCTTCATTTAATGTTCATATTTATATTTATGTTCTCTCATTATTATTACATATAATTATTATTAAATTTATTAAAAGTTTCCGAAAGTTCACATTAATCTGAAATATGACCATTTACAAAATATTTTTAATAATTCGAAAATATTATTCTAAAATTCTTGGCCAATCAGAAAACGTAGTAAATTGTAAAGGCTAGTATACATTAGAGAGATAACGACCAATCAGAAGACAACCAATCAGAAGACAACCAATCAGAAGACAACCAATGTCACATGTTACAGTGACGTAGTAAGACGGTGGTGGGGATCGCGTGTTCCCTCGTAAAATATTTCCGGCAACGTTAAACTTAGTACTGAGAGTGTAGAACGTTGTGTTATGAAAGAACATTCAAGTAAAGTGAAGAGAAAGTCTATAAAATGTTATTAGGAGTTTTTTAAGATTTAATAAATATTTCGTCTAATGAATATTTTTAAATTTGAAACTCTTGTTGTGGTCAATTTATTACAGTTCATAAATGACTATATTTACGACTGATTTTAATACAAAGTAGTGCCATCTATTAGATTTAAATATTACTCCACGTGAGAAACAAACGACTCCAATATGGCGAATGTGAGGGACAGTGATACTTCGTTGTGGCTTCATAACAAGCTTGGAACGTCTAATGATAGCTGGACTGGCAGTTCAATTTGTTCTCAATTAAACGCTGAGGTCTTAAGAAACATCAAGGATTGTTTTCCAGATTTACAAACTCAAGTTAAACTTAAATTACTTCTTTCGTTCTTCCACATACCTAGGCGAAATGTTGAAGAGGTAAAGTGTTCGTACTTTTCCCGCTATAATTCATCATTGTTCTATTTATCTTCATTATTTTTACGTTATTTATCAATGTATTATTGCTTTCTTTATTATCAGTTTTTTTTTCTTTTAATAATCTCATGAAATTTGCCTGTATTATGATATTTTAGGCAGCCCGCCGCCTATTTGATTTTATTTAGGTACCTAATGTTTTTGGCATGCACAATACCTTACTTTCGTTTGCGCGGCATGTCTTAATACATTACATGCATGTAATCAAAAATGCTAAATAAATATCATTCAATTTACTTATATTACTTGTATAGCTTTCTATTTTTATAATATTTCAAATATTAAATATACAGGATAATCCGTTTGAGATGTCAGGAAAGTAAATCATTGTATACAAGAAAATATTCGAATACAACAACAATTTTATGTCCTAACACATGACCACTATTAGAAGTCAACATGAATGGAGCACAGATCATATTATACAGACAAATTGTACAACCCTGGAGTGATCTGCGAAAAGGTTGACTTTCTTATGCTAGTGACTTGATTTACCCTGACAGGAAAAAATCTAAAGAAGTCTAGTTAGGTCCAAGATACTTTGCGAGTATGAAGTGGGTTCATCACAGTTATACCAGCAACTCTGATGCTTAAAACTTACAATCTTTTCATTTATATTGTAACAAACTGCTCAGAGTTATATATTATTAATCTCGTATATATAATGGTTTACTTTTCTAACATCTCAAATGGATACTCCTATACATTTCTATATATATACAATGTTAAAACTTTTGTAGTGGCGCGTTGAGCTGGAAGAAATCATTGAAGTTGCATCGCTGGACAGTGAGTTATGGGTTTCAATGCTATCCGAAGCGATGAAGACATTTCCATCAACAGGATCATTAAATACAGATATTACTGATTTAGATGAACATAGACCTATTTTTGGAGAACTGGTTAATGATCTTCGGAAATTATTAAAAAAGCAGAATGATCCTGCTATGCTTCCATTGGAATGTCATTATCTGAATAAAACAGCTCTGGTGTCTGTAGTAGGTCAACAACCTGCTACAGTGAAACATTTCACATTGAAAAGAAAGCCAAAAAGTGCAGCTTTAAGAGCTGAATTGTTACAAAAGAGTAGAGATACCGCAAGTAATTTAAAAAAGAGTACAGCTCCCACTGTACCAGTACGAAGTAGAGGAATGCCAAGAAAAATGACAGACACAAGTAAGAGAACTGTGCATGTTTAGATGCATTAATGTTGTGTAATATAAATATTAGATACAAGCAAATATTTCATTATTATTATAATATTACAGCACCCCTCAAAGGTATTCCTAGCAGAGTTCCGACGAGTGGATTTCGTTCTCCTTCTCTTACAAGTGCATCAATGTCAAGCAGAACTCCTATTAGTAGTAGAAGTCGTAAAGATGGTGGTATTAAATTGTTGGATATTAACGAACAACCTCTTGGATATGCACAAGCTAAAAAGAGAAGGCGAATGATGGAATTAGAAGAGCAACAGAAAAAGGTTGCAGAAGCTCAAGCAGCTGCGGCAGCTGCAGCTTCGGCGAATGCAGCTACAGTAGAAACTCCAGCAACGCCGGAATATGCTCAAGGATTAGCAGCGATTAATCCACCTTCAACTCCTGTTACACCAGTATCCACTGTTCAATCTTACGTAGCTCCTACCACTCCAAGTGGAGTTACACCCACGACTACATCACAAACTCGTAAGAATTTTGTTGTACTTTTATGATTTGGTATTTGTTTGTTTTATTTATAAATTCCATATGATAAAAAGTTTAATTATATGCAATAACAATTTTTAAATTTGTAGCAACTACACCATCTACACCTACAGTGTCCAGTACTGTATCACCAATAACAACACCAGCAGTCATATCCCCGGTGGAAAGTACACCTGTTGGTGTACAAACTGTTAGGCCAGCACAGACAATTACACAGATCCGTATACAAACATCTGCACAACCTGTTAATGCAGCAGCAAATACAAGAAGAGGCTTGTCACTAACGGTACATTTTTATCCAAAGATATATACAAGAAATATGTTTATAATGCATTATCAAAATTGTTTATTTATATCATGGGTTTTTTAATTTATAGCGAGAACAAATGCTAGAAGCTCAAGAAATGTTTAGAACGGCTAATAAGGTAACCAGACCGGAAAAAGCATTGATCTTGGGATTTATGGCTGGTTCTAGAGGTATATAATATTTGAATATCCATACAAAAAATCATTTCTAAAAATAATAAATACAATAAATAAAAATTTGTCAATAGATAATCCTTGTCCTAAACTGGGCAACATAGTAACAGTAATGCTTTCGGAGAATATAGAAGAGGTCTCTCAAGCAGATGGTTCAACGGTACCAATGTTAGTTGAAACTCACTTCCAAATGAATTACACAAACGGCGAATGGAAGAGGATAAAGAAAAATCGTCGAGTTGTAACGGAAGAGTCTACCTCGGCAGCAGCTCCTACTCCTAATCCAACTGCTACAGCTTCCAATTAGGCAAAATAAACAAAGAAATATATATATATATAAACTATATATATGTATAAAAAAAGAAATTATATCGCGATCTGAAATAACGCAGAATCTTTTTTAAAGTACTCGCGTATATTATGGCCATTTGAGAACGCACACAATTTGGTCATACCAATTTTTAAAGACTTTAGTTCAATACGCGGTTCACATCATCAGTCATCACTTATGTTTTCGTAACGCATACGAAAACTCACGTCAATTTTGTAATAAGATCATTAAGATTATATCGCTGATAATTATAATTGAATTATAATATAGACTATGGATTCGTGAGTACGAATTTTAAAATGGAACTAACAAAAATAAATAATAACAAATATTTTGTTTTTGTTCGTTTCTTTCGAATCATAAGGAAAAAGTTTCCAAATGATGAAACTGATGGTGCTAAACACATAGTTTTTTTTCTACAGATGTTTCGGTTACTAACTTACAAAAGATTCAAGACTAATTGTCCAGAATAAATTAACAATTTTCTTATAATGAAATTTAATAATTGTCGTTCATACTGCAGAGTATGTACATTATTATTAAATATTTACATATTTAACAGAGATGAACATAAGACTTACACATTATTGTTATTTGAATAAAATATAATTAGATTAAATTATATTGTCATATGTATTATTCGTATTGGGACAATTTATTATTTACAAAAATTTGTTTATTTTCCTGTAATTCTTGTCAGACGATTATATTAGATTGTTCAAAAGTTTTTTTTTCAAGAAAATACATATTTTTTGGCTTGTTCAGGCATGCCATCTGTAAAGCTTCCAACGAAACTTGCTAACCTAGCATAATTTTGTGAAATTGGGTAGCGGTACGGTGATATTGTTCTATTACCTATTTTCTTAAATGTAGTATTGTATAATACGCTTAATAAAAAAATAGTGAATAAAGAAAAATATTCTTCTTTAGTGGAATTCATCAAATTATCATTTATATTGTTTAAATTAAACGTGAATTATATAATCTGATTGATTTCTTGTCTTGTGTAAATTTGAAAAGCAGAAGTTAAGAAGACTGTTTCAATCAAATCTATATAAAACTTGTGTATAATAGGTATATTATTGATCTTTTTATAAAAATTAAAAGACAACGATGCTTCGATTGTTCGGTACGCAAGTAAAAAAAGTGGTGTGTATTGCAATTCTTATAACATTTCTTATAGGATTTATATATTTGATAAACTTACACATGTATTTTCTTTTTTCTACAGTCTTGCACCATCTTATCTTCCTTAAATAATGCAAATAATTTAGCCTTAGTAGAAACAGTTAGGAATTTTAGTATTAGTTCAAGATGCCTAGGAGCTTGGCCCGAAATACAAAAACCTGCACCAGATTTTTCTGGAATGGCAGTGGTGGATGGTGGCTTCAAGGAAATAAAATTAAGTGACTACAAAGGAAAATATGTAGTTCTCTTTTTCTATCCTTTAGACTTGTGAGTTGTTGTTTAGCACTTATACACTATTAATAAAAGATTAAATTATATATTATATATTATGTTAATGAAAATGTTGTTCTTCCAGTACGTTTGTATGTCCAACAGAGCTGATAGCATTTTCTGAAAGAATCGCTGAATTTAAGGCATTGAATACACAAGTAATAGGTGCTTCTACAGATTCTCACTTTAGTCATCTTGCGTGGACAAACTTGCCTAGAAAGCAAGGTGGTTTGGGTGGAGATTTAGGGTACCCTTTGTTGAGTGATTTCAATAAAGAAATCTCAGCGAAATATAATGTTCTCTTGGAAGATTCTGGTATAGCGTTAAGAGGACTCTTCATCATAGATAAAGATGGAATACTTAAACAATTAAGCGTAAATGATTTGCCAGTTGGTCGTAGCGTGGATGAAACGTTAAGACTGATAAAAGCTTTTCAATTTGTCGAGGCACACGGAGAAGTATGTCCTGCCAATTGGCAACCAGATTCTAAAACCATCAAACCAAATCCGAAAGAAAGCAAAGAATACTTTGAGTCGGTCAATTGAATTTTCTCTCTAAATCTTAATATATGAATCTAAATATATATATGTAATTATATATAATTATAAAACAAATGTATATACGCATGTATTGTAAGAAATTGTATTATGATTTGATGTAAAACAAAAGGTGATAACATATAGTAAAGGGTTACAAAATAAATGATATAAGAAATATAAAGCTTTATTGAAGTAGTAGTATAGTAGTAATAGTAATAGTAATAGAAAATCACCGTCTCTTTTTCGTATCAATTGGACTCCTGATGCATTCAGTACGCCGAAGAAAACATTTATTTATCATACTCTTTTGAAAGTATATGGTGGAGAGATGAGGAGGAGAGAAGAGAAAATACTCCGAACGAATTCCTTTGAAAAGCACATTCGCTATTCCTAACGTATAATACATGCGTGTACGATTGTGTTTGTAGGCGCGTTCGAACGGCACGAATAGAGTTCTTCGTATCGGGGGTTGATACAGACTCGGTACGATCGAATACCAAGAGAGAAAGAGAGAAAGAAAAAAGAAAGGAAGAAAGAAAGAAAGAGAGTACAGGGGTTCGTAAAATTTGAATGGAGAGAAAGAAAGGGGAAGAAAAAGGTGCGTGCCGCTCATGCACATACATTTATATGTTAGAGAGAGAGAGGGAGAGGGAGAAATGGAAAAAGGAAAGGTGGGGTGAGGTTGGAGGGTGGTTTAGGAGTGGAAGAGCAATCTCGTACCAGTTAATTTGATTCTTTGTGGCGATGAAAGTAATAGTGGGAGGAAGCACCAAAAGACCGTTCCCGATTACCCTATCCTCTATTCGTGGCTTACCAAGTAAACGTTTACTTTTTAGAAACATCTCACACGTGTCATAATACAATCTTATTTTTCAAAATGAATGATCTATTAATGAGATTTTTATCAATTGAGAAGAACTATTATATTATACGAATTTGATAGTAGTTAAGTATTTATCATGAATAATATGTAATACGCGTTCAGATAATGGAAGTTCTACCGTGTATAGAATATTTGAAAGTAAGAGCTTTAAACAAGAGGGTAGGTAGATTAGATATGTAAAAAGAAACGCAAAGATAAATGGTTTTATCTTTTCAATCCGGTAAATCAAATTTTGTCGCAAAGTATACAAAAAGGGAAAGATGAAAAAAGAAAGCCATAGGGATTATATATTTTTTCTTGAGTAACAAATAAAATATATAAGTAAGGAAGATATAGAAAAGATAAAGAATTTAGTTTGAACTTCGAGAAATGATGATCCTAAAAAAAAGATCCTATTCTGAAATATAGTCGCATAGAATATACTTACTTACTTATGTATCAGAGTATGGAGCAAGTGACATGTAGGATTAGAGAGAAGCGAGTCTTTTAGCTGGGGACGGACGGGGCCAGGGGATTTTGATGTTTCAATCGTGCGTTCCGTTGTCCGGCGCGGTCGATTAACGCGACCGTGAGGGTGGGTCAGTAAGTTTAGTAAGGTTTCCGATTCTAATCGGTGTTCTCGGTCGATGCTCGACAACGTCATCTCTGAAAATGACTCGACGTTAAACTTTCATTCCCCCTAATACGTACATTTAAATCTCTTTAAATAATATAAGACACCAATTGTTATATTATTATTTAAAAATGTCTATATTTTTATATTTCTATATTTGATTTATTATTTATCTATTAATTTGCATATAATATTTGATCAATCTCAAGTTGATAGTACAAAACTAAAATATCCTAACGGAAATAGAATTAATTTGTATTCCCAGTAAAACCAAAAAAAAAGAAGAAAGAGAGAGAATCCAAGTAAATGATACAGAAAAGTAAGAAGAATATATCATGCACCAATTGTTATACTATTATTTAAAAATGTCTATATTTTAATAGTTCTATATTTGATTTATTATTTATCTATTAATTTGCATATAATATTTGATCGATCCCAAATTAATAAGACGAAACTAAAATATCCTAAGAGAAATAGAATTAATTTGTATTCCCAGTAAAACCAAAAAAAAAGAAGAAAGAGAAAGAATCCAAGTAAATGATATAGRAAAGTAAGAAGAATATATCATGCACCAATTGTTATACTATTATTTAAAAATGTCTATATTTTTATAGTTCTATATTTGATTTATTATTTATCTATTAATTTGCATATAATATTTGATTGATCCCAAATTAATAAGATGAAACTAAAATATCCTAACGGAAATAAAATTAATTTGTATTCCCAGTAAAACCAAAAAAAAAAAGAAAAACAAGAGAGAATCATCCAAGTAAATGATATAGAAAAGTAAGAAGAATATATCATGCACCAATTGTTATATTATCATTTAAAAATGTCTATATTTTTATATTTCTATATTTGAATTATTATTTATCTATTAATTTGCATATAATATTTGATCAATCTCAAGTTGATAGTACAAAACTAAAATATCCTAACGGAAGTAGAATTAATTTGT